GTGTATTTATTATTATTTACTGTATGATTATTACACTTTAATTGGTTGATAATTAAGTATCATCTATCTATAGTCATTCTCATTTGTATTTTAATAACGTATAACTTTCATATTACTTATTGTATAAAATATCAAAGGGTTTAAATATCAACATAATGAATCTAAGCTCACTGATTTTTATGTGGTTATCCTTTTATTACAACTCCGCCTGGAGGCCTTCTGGGGCTACTGCCGGCCCCATACCCGGATAAAGGAAGAGAGTTGGGTATGGGGTCAGCGACTAGAGAAATGCTAACCAGAAAAAATAATTCAAACCATTTAAACCCTATCCTTGGAGTTAAAAGGTCTTCATTTAGAAGAGTTATGACACCTCATAGTGAAAGCCGAATTTCTTCGGAAATCACAAGGCTGATGCCCCTCCTGATAACTAGAGCAACGATTAATTTAGGTACATGGAATGCTCGTACAATGTGGGAGACTGAGAGAGTCTTCTAAATTGCTATTCTTTTATTATACAATATCCATACAAATCAACTCTTATATATATTTACTTACGCCTATTAATCCTAATGGAGCATAGGCCGCCGACAGACATTCTCCAACTCACTCTGTCCTCGGCCTTCTTTTCTAGTTCCATTCAATTCTTGTTCATTTTTCTCATGTCTATCTCCATTTCCCGGCGTAATGTGTTCTTCGGTCTTCCTCCTCTCCTCGTTTAGCCTTGAGGATTCCATGTGAAGGCTTGTCTTGTGATACTGTTGGGTGCTTTCCTCAATGTGTGTCCTATCCACTTCCAGCGCTTCTTCCTGATTTCTTCCTCCACTGGAATCTGGTTTGTTCTCTCCCATATTAGTAGGTTGTTGCTGATAGTGTCTGGATAAACGAATCTGAAGTATTTTGCTTAGACAACTGTTAATAAACACTTGTATCTTATGGATGATGACTTTTGTTGTTCTGCAAGTTTCCGCCTCATACAGTAGAACTGTTTTGACATTCGAATTGTAGATTTTGACTTTGGTGTTGGTTGACAGACATTTGTTTTGAGTTCCATATGTCCTTCATTTGTAAATATGCTGTTCTTGCTTTTCCGATCCACACGTTCACATTTGCATCAGATCCACCATGTTCATCAATGATGGTGCCCAAATATGTAAAAGTATTTACATCATCCAAATCTTTTCCATCAATTGTGATTGGATTGGTGCATGCTGTGTTGTATCGGAGAATCTTGCTTTTCCACATATATATAATAAACATTTAGTTGTTAATCATCATTCAGTTTCCACTGAGTATCAAATGAATGATGAAGATTACTGCTGAACAGTTGAAATTCATTTGTTATATTTGAAAAGAAAAAAATTTACCATCAATGAAAGTTTGTATTTGTGTATTAATGTGAGATAGATAGATAGGTAGGGAGGGAGCGAGAGATACAGAGAGAGGGAGACAGATAGAAACAGAGGGAAGGAGAGAGGAGAGAGGTGGAAAAGAAGAAAGAAAAAGAAAAGAGAAATAGTACCAAAACAAATGAAAACTAAGCAAAACTATCAAGATGTTTTTATAACGAATGTGAATAATAAGAATATAATAATGAGATATATTTTCCCAAGTCAGTGAATCCTTGAGATTCTGTATCGATATACAGTTGAACAATTGGTTACTCATTGATTAAATGTAATTACATTAATTAAGATAATTAGTCTAATGTTTGTGGATTATTGTAAAGTTTTAAGTTAAGATGAAAGATCTGTTCATTGTTTTAATGTTTGTTTTTTTCAGTTTTAATAGCAGATCAAAATGTAATTACAATGATTGAGATCATGAGTCAATTGAAATTAGACCACCATGGAAAGCCTGGAAGCATTGGATGGCTGTTTCGTCCTAGTGTTGAACTCCTCAGCAGTGCGCATCCATGATCTCACCTCACGAGATTTGAATCCAGGATCTATCAGTCTCGCATGGGAACGCTTAAACACATGACCACTGAGTCGGCATCCATCGGTCTTCATTTAGAAGAGTTATGACGCCTCATGATGAAAGCCGAGTTCCTTCGGAATTCACGAGGCCGATGCCTCTACTGACAACCAGAGCAAACATTTATTTAAGTACATGAAGATACAAACTGATTAACAATGTGAAATATCTTGAATTAATCAAAGTTGGTGTTATGAAACACAGTATATTATTTGTGTAGTCAAAAAGGTAATGTGTTCGTTAAGAACCCCAAAGCCCCTTGCGTTCGATCTCTCGCGAGATCACGTATGTGCATTTCTCAATATTCACATACAAAAGATAAACAACTTTCTAATCCTCACTGGTTTGTTTAAATAGATTCACTTGATGATATTGTAGCGGTAAATAAATCCCCGAAATAAATAGCTCTGTAAGTTTTCGACATTAGATGCTAACCACATGTTTTAATGGACTCACCTAGCTGAAGATGCTTGGTCATGCATCCGCACTAGATCATGTGTGGGAACGCCGTGCTCAACATCTATTGCAATCGCTAGCCAGACTAGATCAGACAATTCCGATATATTGGCAATCGTCAAATACAACTTCTGATCTCCTCGATTCTGTCTTTTAATTTCTCTTGATGGGTACGAGTTATATTAGGTGTTACTGGTAAAAGCGTTTTCAAACACTGAATACCTGTGCCATCTTCAATATAAACTGTATAAAGATGGAATTCTATCCTTTAAAATAACATTTTAGTCTTATATCTAATGTAGAGTTTACATTACATTTGTAAATAAAGATGGTATGCTAAAGTGAAGCCTAAACTAAATCCTGTTGCTTTACATCCAAAAGTTTCATCAAAAGATAACAAATTTAAATGGTAAAACCAATTATTATTATTATTATTATTATTATTATTATTATTATTATTATTATTATTATCAGAGAGGGGTTTTGAGGATATGATAGTAATTTAATAGTTAAATTCATGAATCAATTGAAGCTAGACTAACTGATGACATTGATGGACGGTGGCACAACTTCGTAGATTAGTTGAACACTGTTGGATGCTAGTCCACTGGTCTAGAGGTTAGATGTTCGCTCACGAGATCGAAGATACAGGACTACTAGTGCTTCACTCTGGATCGTAGATATGCGTTAATGAGGTGCCCCGTGACCGAACGAAACACTCGTCCAATGTTTCCAGGTTTTCAATGATACTCTAGCATCATTTGATTCATAATCTCAATCAAAAACATACATATATATATTAGTAATTTTAGTAATTTAATAGTTGAGCACATGAGTCAATTGAAGCTAGACTGCTACGAAAAAGCTGGAAGCACTGAATGACCATCTTGTTTTAGTATGGGACTCTTCAACAGTGTACATCCACGATCCCGATAACGGGATCTGAACCCAGGACTTTTGATCTTGTTCGCAAACGCTAAACTTATGAATAATCTTCCTCTTCTTAAAATACTTGACCAGATAAACATTTGACGTTCATAAAGCTAGGCTTCAAGATAGGGTTCTAAAGTTCTAGTTGAGATCGATGGACTTCGGGTTTGTCGAAATTCAGATGATCATCATAGGTAACACCGGATCACTGTTATGTTACATGGGTAATCGACTGACGCTGAAAATTTGGACCACCAGATCTTCACTATGCGGTCCATCATTGCCATTATTTTCTCTAGACCCAACGAAATTATATTCTACATACTATACTAGAATGAAGTACTTACCTAATGCTTTATGATTTTATGATAATTTGATAGCTGAATTCAGTTTATAATGAAATTTTTCTTTAAGTTGAAACTAATCTTCACAAAACTAAGATGAAATAAGTTCTTTCTATAGTTCACATCACAAATTGACCTTAGTGAGACAGAAACTGGGAAATAGGGAGTACTGAACAGGTATTCAAATCTTTAGAAGATGGCAACCACGAGCCTACCAGGGGTTGAATCCATGATTTTCAGGCCTTATAGTGAACGTTTAATCTTAACATCAATGGCTTGGCATCCAACTTCAGTCACTTCCTGATATTTCCTGGTTCTACTAGCTATGACTGGTCTATGATGTAAAGTGTGAATTTTAACAATCTCTATAAACCCAGATACGGCTAAATGCTTTACGATTTACAAAGTCCACATTTCCCATTATATATTCAAAATGTTGACTCGGATTCTTAGAATTTGGATCTTAACTTTCCATTATAAGAGGATTATTTCAACTCTGGAGGTTGATTCGTCATTAATTAGCTTAGTGTATTTATGTGTACACCATAAACCATGCGTGAAATTGCTTACTTGGAAACACGTGAACTGACTAACCATAGCATAAAGATTGAATTTATTATTATAATCACCCAGGATTATAGTTATGTAGTTTTTATTTAACATGTTTGTGAATCATTACTAATAATTACTGTCAGTTTAGGGGTTGTGGAGATTGTTAAGTTTTGATTGAGATCATGAACCGATTGACGTTAGACCACCATTGAAAACCTGAAGGCCCTGGGTTGGAATCCCGAGAGCGGGATCGGGGATGCGCACTGCTGAGGAGTTCCACAATAGGACGAAACGGTCGTCCAGTGCTTCCAGGTTTTCAATGGTGGTCTAACATCAATAGGTTCATGGTCTCAATCAATAATTATTGTAGTAAATTATGATCTAATGTAGCTTCATACTTACTTACTTACGCCTGTTACCCCATGTGGAGAAGCATAGGCCGTCCTTCTAGCATTCTCCAACGAACTCTGTCCTGGGAAATTCTTTTCTACAGGATGGGGTTGCTGACAGCATGCCCGACCCTCCTTTTTTACTCGGCATTGGGACCGGCAATAATCCTAGAAGAACTAAAGGCGGAATTATGTGTTTTCATAGCCTCTAGATAATACCGTTCAAAGGTCAATATTATTTTGATAATTTAAATAAAGAAAAAGTTGAAATACATTTAGAATAAAATTAACATCGGGAGCGGACGTAATAAATAATTTTCCCGTGACTGAAATATTTAAAAAAAACAATCTTTAGTTAAAATTTATTGCCGCATGAATTCGTTTTGTCCCTATTATAAAAGAACTTAGTAGTAGTAGTAGTAGTAGTAGTAGTAGTAGTAGTAGTAGTAGTAGTAGTGGTAGTAGTATTAGTAGTAGTAGTAGTAGTAGTAGTAGTAGTAGTAGTAGTAGTAGTAGTAGTAGTAGTAGTAGTAGTAGTAGTAGTAGTAGTAGTAGTAGTAGTAGTAGTAGTAGTAGTAGTAGTAGTAGTAGTAGTAGTAGTAGTAGTAGTAGTAGTAGTAGTAGTAGTAGTAGTAGTAGTAGTAGTAGTAGTAGTAGTAGTAGTAGTAGTAGTAGTAGTAGTAGTAGTAGTAGTAGTAATAGTAGTGGTAGTAGTTTGAGGTACAATTTTTATGATTATTTTACTAATTACAATCAATGTCATCTCACATTGAATGATTATGGATATAAAGTGTGATAACTTGTTTAGTTTATTGTATAGATTAATCCAGTTTTGAGATAGTTTCGTTTGCGAACTACCAGTCGATGAACTATTGATAACTCGAACATGAATAGACGTCTGTTTCGTTCGACCGTACGAGATATCTTAGTAGTATACACTTGCAATACTTCCTAAGGTTAAATTACGGACTTCCAAGACTTGTGATGAGTAATTTACTCAATGATTAATGAGCTGAAGTTTACTGGTTAATTTTTATGACAACAGTCAGTTCGTCTTCTAGTAGAATAATTATCCTCAGTCATACATGATATATGGTAATTAGTATTCATTGGATCTTGAGAAATCAATCTCAAAGTTATCCGTCACTGGATAAAAGAAAGTTTGTTTTATTATGAGTTCGACTCCTAGATGACCTGTAGGTATTTACTGGGGAGTTGCATTAATCTCGAACGAAACAGCTTTCCAATATTTATTAATCTTGAATGATTAGATATTTTAGGTCATTCCATAGGAATGACTCATTTGTTTCAATATTAATTGACTACTAGACATTCTTTTCGTTGTAGTATGAAACTTATAAGTGATGAACATCCACAATCCCATCAAGAATCAAAACGAGAAACAAGTGACCAAAACTTTAGATAATCCAGTTTCTTCCTTTTCTAACTCCAGTCAATTCACGGTCTTCTGAGAACATCATCCACTACCATCAATCACAATTGATTGATCACTGGGTGGTGAGTAATGTCATGTGTGTCAAGTCCTTCTTAGTGCAAATCAAATGCTATCGACCAAATTGTAATCCAGACATTAGCCTAGATGATTCGACATTGAATGCACTACGTTGAGGTTAGATGGTGGTTGGAGGTAGTCAAAAGGAAATCCTGATCTCGAGTTTTGTGCTATTTGGCAATCGGTCGATAGCATTCTATCTGCACTAAGAAGAACTTGACAAATATGACATTAATCACCACCCAGTGATCAATCAATCGTAAATGCATCTCAGTCCTACAGGAGATCAGTCACGGCACGGCTAAACCAGTGGTAACATCTATAATTGTGAAACCGGGTGACACGGGATCGACTCCATCAGGGAGCACTAGTTCCCTCAAGATTACAGGTACACCTTGCTGACATGTGCCAAATAACACACAATCATAATAAGTCACATTGAAAATGAATTAGTCACTAAATCAAATTACACTAGTTTCTTTCTTTCTTTCTTTCTTTATTTCTCCTTGTTTTTCTTTCTTCAATCTATACAATCTACAAATGACAGTGTACACAGTGCATTTATGAATGTGTACACTTCAATCGTTTGATTGTGCACAACAAGTTTATTCTATCAGAACATGTATATACATGAAGAAGGAGAAGAAGAACAAGAAGAACAACAAGAAGGTGAAGCAGTTACACAAAGTACAGTAGTAACACAATAATTGTTCGTTCTGCTTTTTTCTTGTGTTTTTATTTTTCTCTCATAGAAACGCCTATTTTTATTCATTTCAACTTATGATTATGATTATGATTATCGTTATTAGTATGATAATGGGCGTCAACATTCACATGATATTCTTCTGTCATATATATATTCATTCCATTTATTCCTTCTATTGTTTTCTGGTCATTCCTATGGTATAGTAGTAGTACACAATACATACATACAGACACACACACACACACACACACATATACACCCACCCTCACCCTCACCCTCACACCCTCTCTCTCTCTCTCACACACACACATAGAAACAAATTCATTTGGTAAATATTCATGATAACATTCCTTATTGTATAATTAATCATGATTGTACATTTATAGTATCCATATTAACTATAGATTGTTATGTTTATCAAGTAATAGAATAATCGAAAATTGTAATCGTTTCACAAATGGTAATTTTCATTAGGTAAGAATCATAAATATTTATTATATTTTATTGATACATGGATGGTTGTTATTACCATTTGAGAATTGACCACTATACGACTACCATTCTGTTAATAAACTATTTAATAGTTGAGATCATGAGTCAGTTGAAGCTAGACCACCATGGAAAACCTGAAAGCACTGGACTTCTGTGTTTGTCCCACTGTGAGACTCTTCAACGGTGTGCATCCACGCTACCGCCTCGTGAGATCTCTGTGTGTGTGTGTTTATATATATATATATATATATATATATATATATATATATATATATATATATATATATATATATATATATATATATATATATATATATATATAGGTGCAGCGTCCCTGCGCGAAACTGATAGTTCCCAGGTTCGAATGTCCCGTTTTATAGGCATTTAACTTGTGCTACCTTATGTTCAACCAATTCAATCACATTTGATGAAGAAACTGTTGAACATTCATGTATTTGTGTAGCGTTATTGATGAACAAGGAGGATATGATGCAGATTGATAGATGAGGATTGATAAAGTAAGGATAGCATTTCTAAAATTCAAGAAAATATAGAACTCAAAGCAACTGTCTGTACGTCAACATCAAAGTTACAATACTTAATACGAACGTCAAGACAGTTCGACTATACTGAGCTGAAACTTGGAGAACTACTACAATCATTATCAACAATGTACAAGTATTATAAACAATTGTCTACACATGATACTCAGTGTCCGTTGACAGGATACCATCAGTAACAGCCTACTGTGACAGAGAACAAAGCAGCTTCCAATTGAAGAGGAAATCAGAAAAAGATGTTGAAGGTGGATAGGACACACATTGAAGAAGTCATCAAACTGCATCACGAAGCATGCGCTAACCTGGAATTCTGAATGGAAGGACGAAGAACACTCTGTGTCGAGAATCCGAAGTAAATATGAAAAAAGGATGAATAGTAACTGGAAAGGATTTTTCAGAACAGATTTGAATGGAAAATGGTTACGGAAGGTTAACAGGCGTAGGTAAGTGAGAAACTTATGTTCAGAAATTATGAACAAATTATTTTTCTAAGAAATGGTTAGCTGTCATTTGTATTCACCTATACTTGTTTATTATCAATCTTGATCCTAGGACATCTCTTTTCATGGTTGAATATATGTTTTGATGTTTAGAATTACGTTGTAAACGTTTCTCGTTACCTAAAACTTCGAAGATGAATTGTTGGCTTAGCGGTTAAAGTACTCTATCTACTTATATTTGATAAACTGGGTAACACTAAGGTTAATAGTTTACCTATATGATCTCGTTCAATCAGTTAGTCAGTTATTTATAACAACATAAATATAAGCATAAAATCTTATTAGTTCAGAGTGTCACATTGAACATGACACCCAACGACATGAATTTAACAAGGTAAATATCAAGAAAAAGGTAGTAGTAGTAGCGCGATGTGTGCTACTGATGTCGACAGACATAAATAGTATGTACCGCTAATCGAAAGTGGACTACCTGGAAAAGATTGAAGAAAAAAGAACGAAAACAGAGAATGGTTGGTATGGAAACGAAAAAAGAAAAACAATGAAGCCAGGGACGACTACTTCATGGCTCTCAGATTTTACAGCGATATAGCAGTCAAACAAATTTGGTTGTCTCCCATTAGTGTTCTCAATCACTACAGCAGGAATGATAGTTGTGCTACGCTCTCCGTCAAAATGTCGAGTCTGTGGCACGCTGGCCTCCATAGCTCTGTCAACCTGCCGGGGCAACAACATTCGACATCCACCCGGCACCTGTGATGCTCAACACCCGTGCTTCATCGGCCTGCTGAGCCATCTACATCTGATGTCCGCCGAGCAGCCACACGTTCCACCACTCCTCTCCGCCAACAGCACCCGCTACGGTCAACGCCGCCCCGCCAGAATACTCCAGTCGACGCCATTTCTCCGCACCAAACTGCCCCAACTAGCACCTCAGCTCCAGGCCCGCAACGGCGTTCGCAGAACAGCACTCCTCCTCTTCTGGTTGGCAGCGACACCAAATGTAATGAACAAGAACACCAGTGGGAACAATCGAATGTATTTAACACAAAATCACAAAACTTTTTATCAAAATCTAATAATCATAAAGTAAATGCTTAATTTGCAAAATGTCCACCAATTGTCTCAAAATGACTCAGACTTCATTGTTCTTGTATTTTCATACAAGTCGCATCCTGTTTCCATTCTTCACTGTTCGATCCTCTTGTCTCTCCGATGCCAGACATTCTGTTCACGACTAACATCATATACTGTCAATATAAGTAGCACACACCACAGTAGTAGTAGTTGTTGTTGTTGTAGGAGTAGAAGTAGAAGTAGTAGTATCAATGATAATCTAAATTAAATCAATCCATAATGTCAATAATCTTCCATATAAACAATCGACACATACTACTTACTATGTAAATAATAATTTTTAAAACAAAATCATCACTGACTATTTAACTAACTGAATAAGTTTAATCGATTTCGTCTTTTACCACTTGATTTTCATCAGTGAAATTGATGAATTTTTCACTTTTTTTTAGCAAGAAAAGAAAAAAAAACATATTTCATCTAAATATTTACAGTTTTATATGTCAACAGATGGCTGGTAAGTAATACACATACAGAGAAAGAGATAAAGAGAACTAGAGAGGGAGTGAGAGAGAGAGGGAGAGAGGGAGTAAGAAAGAGGGAGGGAGGGAGGAACGGAGGATGGGAAAGAGGGAGAGAGAGAGGGAGGGAAGGATGGAGGAAGGGAGAATGGGAGAGAGAGCAAGAGAGCAAAGAATTCCATTGTTCAACCTAAACATTGCTCTATTTAATGGATAGTTAATACAAAGAAAGAAAGAAAGAATGAATGAATGAATGAAGGAAAAAACATACACAGATGGGATAGTAAGATGTAATCTGGTAGGAAATAGAAAACACTAGTTATTATTGACTATTCATTCTTATAATTTATTACCAATGGTTACCTACATACATGTATAAGGTATGGATACACGAATTAGGATATACACAAAAATTTTTTTCTTTTTTTTTGTTGTT